GCATTGATAAGAGAGACTGCTGGAGGTATATGGAAAAGTCCTAAAGAAGATACACCTTGAAAAGGTAGCTGAAAGTGCATAAAGCAAATAGAAGAGGAAAGTTAAAGGAGATAGCACAAGTCTCCTCGGGCTCTCATGAGAGTGTCCGTCAGTCGTAGCTTAAAGTAGCAGAGCAAAGCAGGGTAGAATACAACTGGCCATGAGGTCCAAAAGTTAGAGCTAGGAAGCTTTTTTGTCTAGTAGGCAACAGGAGCCTTTAAAGCAAGGGGAAAACACAAAAATATTGTCAATTTTACAAATACAACCAGTGGCAGTTTAGAGAAAGATGAATGGGACTGGAGGGACTACCTATTACAATATGAATGAGAAAGGTCTGGATTAAGGCAAGAGTAACAGTCACACATAAAATGCTTGAGAAATTTCAAAGAAAGAAAAGACATGAACTACTATTTGATTACATATGAAATGAGAGAAGAATCAAATAAATGCTAAAGACAAAATAAAGGTAAGCACACTAATAAATTTATCAACAGTTCCTTCAAATTTAACAGTGTAAGTGTACACAATTTTTCAGCATTTGTGCTTCTTGAGCATTATCTAATTATGTATTAAATGTAAAATATCCAAACATTTTTTCACTACTGAGAATGGCATATGAAACAGTTTACACAACATATATATAACTGAAACTTAATTGCTGCAATTCATTATATGACAAAAGAGAACCAAGTAAGTTGCTTAAACTTCTTTTCAAATTTCTTCCCTTATAAACTTATAAGGGAAGGAAAGAGATTGTTCTTTAAGAAGACATCTGTGTGTGTGTGTATAATATATATAGACAGATACATGTACAGTCTTGTGTGGTAAAATGAAGGTCCTTACTGTCCCTAACAGACAGTCCCACTTTTTCTCATTTTTGTAATATCAGTATACTGCAAAATCCTGTTTATTCAATACCAGCAAAATCAGAAGAGTAGCTTAGAGGAGTACCATATAAAAATGTTCTTTCACTTAAACATATAACCGTATATTCTGTTACCAGTCTTTTGTCGCTGGCCTTTTGAGTTACAGATCTGCTGACTACAGCTCCACACTTTCTCACAGACCACACCTCCTCTGCACCCTCCAATTTCCAGTTTCACTTTCTTTTTTTTTTAAAGACATTTATTTATGCCTACAGAACTGGGGTACAGACCAGAGGTGTGTAGGGGGTGAGAGGATTCACCAGAGACAGAGTAGAGAACAGAACAGACAGATGCACTGAAATACACTGCTGAGGGTAGCAGCGGGCAAGACAGGAGAAGTCTGCTGTACTGTGTGGGTCAGCTCCCTGGTCAGGGACTGAACTCATACTATAGTGCTGCATATAGCTTCATAACGTTGTGTTTTAAACCACTGTACCACCAGGGAGGGCCCAGTTTTACTTTCTTTAAAAAAAGCAAATCATGAACTTAAAAGGTATTTGCCAAGGATCTAAGACTTTTAAATATTCCTTACGCATATTCAGTCTTTCCAAGGCAGTTAAGTTTTCATAGACTCAACAGCTCCTTTATTTTGCAATCATTCCACTAGGTTATACAATTTTGTAATAGTTTATATAATTGCAAGTATAAGTGGTCATAAATTAATTCTTGGTTAGCAAAACAATGGACAATCAATATGTCTTATAAAAAGAGAATGGAGATTTATTAAGACTGGTATCCTTGATATGAAAAATCTAATTTCACCTTTTACTATACTTGTAGCAGTACCTGACATATTGTAAGTAATTATTATTATACTATTGACAGCATTAAAATTCAACTAGGGACAGGTAACAGTGCTATGCAAGGGTAGAAGTTTACCTACTTACAATAGCCAGAATCACAGAGACTACCTATACTTAGCTTGTTAAGGGAGAACAGATTAGGGAGTCTAAACAGAAATAGGTCCTCAATGAAAAGATAGTACAGTTTCACATGGCTAGAAACACACTATCCAGGGCTAAAGAAAAAGATCTTAAAGTTCACATATCAGAACAACAAGAAACTAGAAGATGAGCAACCCAACTTAACATTAATACCTTAAAAATGCTAAGATGATAACTGGTTATAGATCCTAAAAATTAGCAGCTAACCTAGAGGAAGAAAGCCGGTCACACACAGCTCCTCAGTGCACATCAGGACACGTTCCTCTATCATAAGTTCTCAAGTGACAAGAAAACATCAATCTATTAAACAAAAAGTCACACAGTGAATCCCAAAATTCAAAGTAAATGATTTTTGCTTTACCAAGGATTCTAAATAGCACGTGCTAACAAAAGGGAAACAATGCAGGCCTCCCTGATGGTGCAATGGGTTAGGACGCAGCACTGCAAGCTGGCCACAGCCACCTCAGTGCGAGTTCGATCCCCTGCCCCGGGAGCTGACCCACACAGCGCAGCAGACCTCTGCTGTCCCACCCGCTGCTCCCCTCAGCAGTGTACGTCATCGATCTTCCTGTTCTGCTCCCCACTCTGTCTCTGGTGACTCCTCTCATCGCCCCTGTACCTCTGGGCTGTACCCCAGTTCTGTATGCATAAATAAAGAAATCTTAAAAAAAAAGGGGGGGGAGAACAATGTATATAAGCAAATGTGCAAGAAAATAAAAATCTACAAATAAAAACCTAAACAAATAGTGCAAATTAAATGTAAGTAACACTTGATCATTTTGTTTTAAACTAAATTTTGTGACATATACCTCATTCGCAGGTATAAAAAACCTGAAGTAATGTGATGGAAAATCTACAGGAACCAGGAAGTTCAGAAACTGCAAGTACTTAAAACACTCTTGTCCACTAAGAAAGAATCCACAGTGGAATGACTTTCTTCCTTCTATGGACATCAAAAAGTACTGAAAATGTTCTGGTCAGAGGAACTCAAGAGACAGTGCATGATGCTGCACCAACCCCACTAGATGGCACCATCACAAAAAGTCACTGCTCGCCACACTCCAGCAAGAGCTGAAACCTCTCTTGATCTTCGCAAAACTGAAAGCTATCATCAACACAGTGCCATCCCCTTGAAAAATGATAACCCATAGTGCAAATTCAAAGCAAGGAACTGGAGTTTTTCCTAAAGCACCTTTTCTCTTAGTAGTAAGATCCTTCCCCATTCCTATTTCAAATCAGTGATCTAGAATCAGTGATCTAGAAGATATAGGCTTACAAGTAAAAAACAAAATGGGGATTTTCTTTTTCCTAACTCTACTAAGTACAGAATAATTTACTTGCTTTTTCTCCCCAAGTTTCTTTTCTACAGGAAAAAACAACACTCTCTTTCTAACCCTAAAATAGCATGTGCATTATAATCAACATATCAGTATTACAATTGGAAACATCAGAATAACACACAATTAATGGCATAAAGACATACAAATATACATGAATTTCTTTCTCTGTATACTTATAAAAGGTAGAACTTCTAATTAAACGGACTAAATACTGCAGTAAAGATTTCTGACACCTTAGTTAAATGATTTTAAAATGGGTCTGGACAACTATGTCACAATGTCATTCATTCTCATCACTTATACTCTAGCCCATGTAAAATATATAGTGGATGTACAATAAGAATCTAAAGCAGAAAAGAAAAGCATCCTAACAATGAAAACTGAAAAGTCTAACAGAATACAATTTGAATACTTGCTTCTACCCTGTAAGTGAGCATTTGAACGAGTTAGATATGAGCCTTCTGATAAATTCTCAAAAAGACATATCAAAGGTTATTATCAGGTAATCAACTCAATCAGATATCAATCTGTACTCAAATATACTGCTCACTTCTAGCTACTTCACTTAGATCAGAGAATTTACATTTGCAAGTATAATTTCAGTATGCAACAACAATCAGTAGAGCACAGCCTCCCCTGGGTGTCACAAAATTTAATTAAGGTGGCTGAAAGAAAACAAGACCTTCAAAATGTACAGCAAATTTTGGGTTCCCTTCACACCATGTCACAGTTCTAATACAACACTCATCAGAGTCCTCTCTCTGGCCCTCTCCAATGAGGGATGGGAGGCACTATGCTAAAGGTGTCAGCCCTAACACCCTGTAGTAGATATTTAGTATTTGTTGACTGAACAAAACAGTTATTCCAACTTACCAAAATTATGAGACCCATCAAAAGAGCTAGTTTTCCAACTAAACCTAACAAGTAATTAACCAAAACATGAGACTGCCAAAGCATGAGACTAACATCCAGGTCACCACAAAACACAAGATTTCTTGAACAGTACAGAAAGAAATATATCTCATGAATTCTAAGACCAACAATTCATAAGTCTCAAGCTTAAGTAATCCAACAATCTTTTTAAATGTTTAAATAAAACAGTATGGCTTTATTTTACATATTGTATTAAGTCAGAAATGTCTTACTGCACTAAAATCATCTCTTAAGAGGTGGAGTAGAAGGTACTGAAGGCCACACAAGAAGCAGTAACAGTGTTCAACGCTTGATGTTGTTTGATGCTCCCACCATAAACACACAAGGTAAAATAAGAAGAGAAAGCAGTCTGGGGTGTAACCAAGAGAAATTTGCCAAGCTGCAGATCAACAGAACCAAGACTAAGCAGAAGAATATTTTCAAAACTCTATCATATCACTATGTAAAAAAAAATGCAGCGTAATAAGGCTGTGTCAATATCTTCTCCTTAATAGTTTTCTATGGTTAAGTTTTGACAAAATGGGGCATAAAATCTAAACAGACATCCCCTTAGAATTCTTACAGCAAAATTCATGGGAATCCGCTCCCATATTAAGGTGTGTGGGGAAAGAAGCGTAGACACCTACACAGAAAACCTTCAAACATGCTGTTAAATGATTACTGGAGCGACAGGTAAGATTTAAAAGTACACTGGAACCATGAGCCCAAATTCTCCCCCTGCAATCAATCAGTATGGTCTACCCCAAATTGCTCAACTGTTTTTGTAAATGTATTTAAATGTGACTATAAACAGTATTCATTATCAAGATTTTACTCACCTTACTAACACCAACTCCAGTAAACCTGGCCTCTAATAATTCCTGCCGTCGTGGGTCCAGGCTATGCAATTCTTCCATCATTTCTAAGGGAAAAAAAAAAAAAGGAGACTGTAAGGCCATGAAAGCTAAAACTCAAGAAGCCAAGTTTGCTTTGTTTTTTGAAGATTTCTTTATGTATGCACACAGAACCCGGGTGCAGGCCAGAGGTGAGGGGAGTCACCAGAGACAGAGTGGGGAGCAGAATAGGCAGATGGATGAAGTACACTGTTAAGGGGAGCAGCGGGTGGGTCAGGAGAGGTCTGCTGAGCCATGTGGGTGATGGTGGGGATTGAACTTGCACTGAGGCGGCTGAGGCTAGCTTGCATGCAGTGCTGTGTTGTGTTCTAACCCATTGCGCCACCAAGGCAAGTTTTTAGATATAACATTACTTCACTGAACGTTCACATACAGGTAAATCCCAAGTAAATACAGCATACAAGGGATAGAGAACAACTTAAAATGTATGAACTAGTTACACACTTAAAGTTACAAAGTGGCTCAGAAGTCTCTTCTAGGACAGCCACTTATTCTAACCTTATTCTGATTTGATTTTAACAACAACAACAACAAAAACATCAAACCCTTCATTTAATCTCTTTAAACCCTGAGTGAGGGGAAAAACCCAACAAAGGGCTAGTTTGCAAAACAAGAAAATTCTGTCAACCTTTGAATCTAGCTGGATATTTGTCTCCCAACAGACAGAAACTAGTTCTTAAACTAAAAATGTAAATCATCAGCAAATTCAAAATAACATGGTATGAATCCGAAGCTACAGATAATTTCAAATAACACCATATAGTTTCTTCCTCTGGAGGACTCACAGCAGCTCACGATAAAAGCAATTATTTTAAATTTAACAGAAAACCATGGTAAAGCCGTCACTGAGGAAATTAATACAGCTCCATAAGCCTCTCTTCACAAAATCTGTTTGTGACCACTCCCTGAGCAGTAGGTTCTCTAGACTCTAGACTGCTTCTAGCACTCCTTCCAAGCAGGGAGGGGCAGAAGGACACCATTTTTAAACTCATTCCATAACCAACTAATGCACAGGCTTATTTCAGCAAAAAAAAAAAAAAAAATGTCCATCTTTTGCAAGCTATCAACTCTGGCAGAACCCACTGGAAATCGCTCTTGAATACTAAAAGTGAAAAAGGAGCATACACCATTATATGGAACCCCTGCGAACACACTCGTTATTGGCCTGATTGGCAGGATTTGAAAGTTGACGGAAAACACGAGTTAAACATTGTCCTCTGCTATCTAACAACTCCACAATTTCCAGTAACAACCCTCCAAGTCTTCCAGTTTCATTTCCCTTCCTGGATTAAGAGCCTGGGGCAAAGGGGAATGAGAGGGTGACAAAGTTTCACCCACACATACAAGTGCAGGTTAGCAAGGGAATCGGAAAATTCTCGGTGAAAGAAAAAAGGAGACTGAAAGAGAGTGAGTTTCCCCATCGTGGCCTTGCTGGCGTCTCACCCTGCCCCGATCGAGGCCGGAATGGCAGAGGTGGCTGCCTCCCTCAACCCAGGGGTTTCTCCGAGCATTTCCCAAACCTCCATCCCCAGGCCGAGCCCGGAAAATGACGCCCCAGCGGTTATTCCATTTAATGTCAACTCATGTTAAGGAAACATCCACTCTGTCTCATTCCCGCGGGGCCTGGAGCGGGATCCTCCCCGGAGCCCACCGCCGGGAAGCAGGACGAATGGGGCCTGGTCCCGACACCCCTCGCCTCCAGCCGGCTCCAAACTTTCCCCAACTCCAGGCCCACCTGTCACGGAGGGAGGGCGGGCCGGCTCTCGGGGGCGCCCGGGAGGCTACCGGGCCTCCAGCTGAGGGGGCGCCCCTCTCC